GCAAACACCCACTTGGCATCCTGTCAGCTGATGGGCTCACAGGAGCTTGTCACATTGATCTTTTTCTCTGTTCCCTTGGTGTGGGGGAGCTGTGAACATGTGAAACCAGCTTTGTGCACCTGTGGCTCTCATGGTGGCTTCTGTCTTGGATAAATACAGAAGCTACGGCTGCCTTTAACAGTTTTTTTTTTCCTGGCTGTTACTTCCCATTCTGTGTAGGGATTATTTGATTCCTTGACTCTTGAGGATACCCAAAATCTGGTTCAAACAGGCTAAAAAGAGTTTTTAGACTGTTGAGCATACTCCTGCGTGCTTTCCATGGTCAAACTTACATTTGCTTGTTCTCATGAAAGTGGTTTGTTACTGGGCAGAACTCCTTTTACCCTGGAGCAACCTGATACTGCTTGAAGTGTTGCAGAGCAGAAATTGGTGTTTCCCTTCTAATCTGATGTGTTTGTGAATGCCTAATGTTTTTATTGATAGTGGTCTGTGAGCTAGGTGCTGTGGGAAGTGATACCTGGTGATTTGGAACTGACAAGATTTTGGTTTTGGTTTGATTTTTCTCTTTGATATCTAGTACTACTTCCATTGAGTAGCTGTTTTTTTGTTCTTAAGGAAAGCTCTAATAATCTGCAGAGTCACTGAGCAACTGTTCTCTCTTAATGAAAGCCTTGGTAATCTGCAGAGTCAAATCAAGAGATCGGATCAAGTGACCTGATCCACATTGTTAATGCAATTGCTGGGGTAAGACTCTGCTGAAGTCTGACCTCTCCCTTTGGTCAATACTGAAGAGAAGCTGTGGCTGCCCCATCCCTGGAAGTGTTCAGGGCCAGGTTGGATGGGGCTTGGGGCAACCAGGTCTAGTGGAAGCTGTCCCTGCCAATTGCAGTGGGGTGGAAATAGATGGCCTTTAAGGTCCTGCTGCTGTCACAACACTTTTCCCTTTGAAAGGAGACTTGTTTTCTTTCTGTGACTGGAGAGTTGTGAGGCTTTCTGCTTTGTTCTCAAGTTGAGAACAAACTCTGTAAGTGGTTCCCCTACTTAAAGCATCATTTGAGTGGCTGTAAGAGCTCAGTAAAAGGCATTTTATAAAGGAACATTTTTTTACTGGAGCAGTGTTAATGCAGAGCAGGGGCTGGCTTGAAGTACTGCAGTTAGAAGTTATTTTGATGACATGACTGCTTAGAGTGACACAGATTGCCAACCTGAATCCTGATTAAACTTGGAAGGAATTACAGCAGAAGGGGAGATGGTTTTAAACCAAAAGAAAATAGGTTTATGTGATACTTTAGGAAGAAGTATTTCCCTGTGAGGGTGCTGAGGCACTGGCACAGGTTGTCCAGAGAAGCTGTGGCTGCTCCATCCCTGGGAGTGTTCAAGGCCAGGTTGAATGGGGACTGGAGCAACCTGGGCTAGTGGAAGGTGTCCCTGCCTATGGCAGAGGGGTGAGATGAGATGAACTCTTAAGATCCTTCCAACTCAAACCATTCTGGGATTCTGTGAAATTTTCCTCTATGCTCTTCAACTTCGCTGTGTGTTGTTAAGTACAGTGTGCACATTGGGCATCTATTTTATTTTCTCTTGGTTTTGTTAGCTAAAGGAAAGGTCTTCCAGCGCCTTCTGTGTCTTCCAATGGGAGCATGTTTGGGAACAGCTGTCACTGAGGGCAGCTCTGTGTGTATAGTATGAAACATGAACTCCTGTTGTGGCCCTGCTGTCAAGTGGCTTTTCTCTGCAGGCTGCTGTGTGATTAAGAAAACAATCTTGTAACCAGGAAACATTACCTGGTTTAGGTGTTCTTATACTACTTACCGATCCTGCTCTCTGTGTTTGTGTTGATTCAGTCATAGTAGATAGTGATGAATGAATGTGTTCTCTTAAAAGTTACTGACAGGAAGTAATGCACTTGTACAAAGGAAAGTCTGCTGAAGGTTTGGGTTGGGCTGGTTGAAAATATCACTTAATTTCAAGCAGATGGGGCAATTGTCATTGGGGCAACTATCAAGTATCTACATTAATTAAATGGGAACAAATTCATAGGTGTGACTTCTGGTTTTTTGGACTGAAATGATGTAAATTCCACAGGCCTTTTCCTCTTTACAAACAATTTTTCCACCAGGAAGGAAGCAGCTTTAAAGGTGTAACAGGAATTCTCTTGCAAGAGCTGTGAGCATTCTAAGCAATTGTAATGATTCTGCTTTAGTGGTTTTTTTTAATGCCTTTTAGCTTCATTTGTGTTAGCTTTGGAGCAGGGGGAGAGGTTAGGTAGAGCAGTTGTATCAGGGGAATTCAACTTCTTTCTTCTTTGCAGTGAGACCAGCGAAGTTCTGCAGTACACAGCAGCTGAGGCCGAGGATGTGGAGAGGGTAAGAGTTTGCTACATGTACTGATTCTATACAAGGTCTGAACTTGAATATTTCCATGAGAGAGTGTCATTTTGTCAGCAGAGTGGAAGTCTCACCCCTCATCCCTTTTGCCAGGATCCCTGGCTGGCTGAGGCCTTGCCTACCAGGGTAAGGTCTGTGTCCCAAGGCATTTGCCATTGTGCAGCTTCCTGTGGTCCAGGTTGGTGCCCAGGTTCCTGTCTGATAAAACAGCTGCTGTTTGCCAAAAATCAGAAGGTTGCTAGTGGGATAACAGAAGTGTTTTGCTTTCTCATCATTAACTTTTCTCTGTAGCTGATGTTCCCTGACAGAAAGATAAGGAAGTTTTGGTGATTCCGGTCAGGTTTGTAGTGGGCCTGTTTCAGCTCTAGGGATAGAGCTCCAATAATAACATTCTGTTAACCTGGATAATAATAATGATTCTAACAGAAGCTTACTAAAAAGGCATCTCTGCTTGGAAGGGGGTCAGGAGAGTAGCCCATGGATTCTCTCCAAGGGCTTTTTGGGTCTTCATCCTAACTAGATGAAATCTGCCCTCAGACACAGAACAATCTTCTCCTGTGTTGTATATAGCATGATCTAAGCAGAGAGTTGAGGAATATGGTCATATATGTGGTAGCATGTACTTCATTAAGCTTATTAGCATATTCAGGGTGTGCATTTTAATATTTAAGTGACCCTTAATCAAGCAAAAGTTACTTTTTTTGGCCATGATGTCCTTCAAAGTTCTGCTCATATGACTTTGTGAAGCAGAAGATACTGGTAAGGACTTTCCTGGTCCTGAAACTTGACCTCCTCCTTAGCTGCATTGCTGTGTTGTCTCCAGGCCTTGTGGTTGCCTTTATGAGAACACAACTGTGTGCCTCATTTTGGGTCCTGTGCTGTTGTGGGTGGATTTTGGATGCTCCTGCACTTGATAATTGAGGTTATAGTTAGTACTCAGTAGACTTGTGAGGCTTTGTGGGTTTATACCCACAAAAAGGACTGGTGGCTTCAGTGTGACATACATGGAAGAATATCTAAAAATTAGAGGTGAAATGAACAAAAAAACCTAAAGTCATGATGTGGATGAGAGTATTGAGCATTTACAGTTGAGTTTTTCTGGAGAACAGCAGAAAAGCAAGGGTAAGATTTGAGAACTTGGTGTTTCAAGCAGGTGGCCATGGATGTTTGGTGGAAGTAAGAGAAAGCTGAGATGGGGGTTATTTAGAATCATAGAATTTAGGGGTTGGAATGGACCTTACAGATCATCTAGTCCCAACCCCCTGCCCTGG